CCCCAAAACCCCAAAACCCCATAGTACTATATTGATCGCTGATTAATATGATAAAAATATTTATTCATGAAACTTAAGTTAAAACTATATCAAATAATATAGGTATTTTGTATAATTATATCATTAAATTAAAATTAATTATAAGAATCAAAAGTCTAATTTGAACTCAAGTTTTGTCAAATAATTTGTTTCATTTTGACTCTCATATTTTGGATAATTTACATAGACAAAGCTATAAGTCTAACAATCTATAATTTGATTTTAGACTGATTCACTGCCTTTTAATTCCGGTCTCTCGGGTAATAAATCTTAAGTTTTATTAAGTTAACCTTTTTGTTTTATTTATAAACTTGTTTTCTCTTCATTTTAATAAATTTTTTTACCCTTATTTTCGTTGTAGAATAACATATATTCATATTCATTAAGAAAAATATTCCTGAAAGGATAGCATACTTCCAAATTAATGAAGCTACTTATAAATGGTTGCATTGCAAAGTCACCAATGAGAATCTAATCTTTTGTTTTGTAATTAATTCTTCTTCCCTATTGCTCCAGATGCCTGTTCTGATTAATCACTGATATTTCAGGCAAACATATGAATCATTTTTCAGAAAATATAATCTTTCGTAAATTGAACTTTTTCCAGCCAACATAATAATAGCTCTTATGATCTAGAGTAATAAAATCATAACCTTAAGGTAAATTTGAAGTAGTGTATTTGAGATTCTAATTTGCATTATATAAATTACTGATGCACCTTACTACTTTAAATTTGCATGTATTATTCTTGAATTTCAATTTCACAAAATAGTTTTAATTTTAATTAGGAGCAAGTAGAAAGGAATAATAACTGCTTTTTTTCTATAGCCATCTTATTGAATTATATTTTGATTCCCTTAAGAATTTTGATCCAACTAACTAATATACCTTAGCTATACCCATACCACCAGTTTCTATAGGATAATTTTGCAATTCTTTCTTCTAGAATTTTTAAAGTTTAATAATCATTAAGCACTCTCTCGCGATATCCATAATACCAATAGAATCCTTAAATTTAACATGCAAAAAATCATGATCAAAACTAATCTCACATTCCTTTGGCAAATTAAATAAGCCAATGTAGTAAATTGTGTTATTTTCATGGCAATATCTGAATATTTAATGTTTCTTAAGGATTAGTATATTATTTTCATATAATGAAACAGTCAAAGGACAATCCTAGTAAAGTTATCGGCCACCATCTGGATCATCTACTTCTAATAATTCTCTTACTATTTCAAATGTATCTATTCGAATAATATCGTAGCGACGTGGTTACCAGCACTTACTATACTCAATCAATAGCAAATTTTCATTTATCTTATTGTACAATGCTCCCATAAGATTGTCATCAAAGGTATCTCTTTTTAAATTCTTACTACTAATAATCTAAACTTTTTATTATCCCTCCTCAAGGAATTCATTTAAATTTTATTCCATTTTTTTTGCACTTCACTAATTTTTATTAAAATTTAATTATTTCCAAATTTCAGGAATTTAATTTTTCTCAATTTCTATATTCCTAATATTTTAGAAATAAGGGGTTTTGGGGTTTTGGGG